GCCTGACAACTTGAGTTGAATCCCTGAGACCCATATCATGGAAGGAGTAAAACCAACTCCCACAAACTGTCCTCTGACCTCCATGTGCACGCTGTGACAAAACCTACTTAATGCACACACTCTCTCTCTCTCTCTCTCTCTCTCTCTCTCTCTCTCTCTCTCTCTCTCTCTCTCTACACACACACACACACACACACACACACACACACACACATGCTCACACTTTATGTAATAAATACAAATTCAGTAAACTTTTTTTAGCAAAAAGAATGACCTACCTACTAACTGCACTCAGTTCTTCCTCTACTCGAAGATCACATGACTAAATCTACTGGTCCTATTAGAACACTCTGTACTTGAGTGCTCCTGAAAACACTAGTCAACTCTCTTCAATGAAACTGCTCCAACAGCAGATTCATCAAAGCTAGAAGGACACAGAAGGCATACAGTCTACACAGCAGGACATGCAAATATGCCATGTTTCCTAGCATGAGAGTATGGGTGTGTGCCTCTGTACAACTGTTCTATGGAATATATATAAACTGTCAGTATATATGAAGTAGTAATAAAGCAGTTTTCAATGTGGCTATAATTGTAAGTTCAATTATAAGGGTTTAATTTTTTTTGCCTTGACTAAGTTTGATTTGAGGTTTAACTGTGCATGAGACATACTGAAGTAAATGTGATCATTGTTCTTGAAATTCTACATACCCATTTCAGAAAGACTTCCTGTTTTTAAAAATGCTCTGCATATCATCTAAACCAAAGAATTCCAAGATTAATCACATCATTCTTATGTTTAAAAAGGGGTATGTCAAACTTTCTTTTAATTAAATCACTATTTAGGCCTTGATACTCTTTCATTTAAAAATATTTATAATAATTGGCTTTTTATTATCTCACAAGTCTTAACCTCCTCTTTAAATGACCCTATCTTTATGCAGACTCTCTACCTACCACAGCTACTGTGGCCATTTTAGCATGCCTGTGTTATACATGCTTGCAGTAGCAAAGCACAGATTTGTAAAAATGCAGCTAACTAGGCCAACAGCAAGGATTTCTTTCTCTTACTGCCTTTTACTCAGCTACTCTCAGTAAGAGGAAACTGGAGTATAACAAACTAGCTACATAAAAGCTCAAGGGTTCCAGCTGGGGCAGTGCCTCACACCTGTAACCTAGCACTCAGGAGGCTATGGAGAGAGGGTTGCTGTGAGTTCAAGGCCACCCTGAACTACATAGTGAATTCTAGTGCAACCTGGACTGGTTTGAGATCTTGTCTCAAACAACAACAACAACAAAAGAACAAAGCAAGAGGCTTAAATTCCATATATGCTACAAATAAAATCAGTATGAGAATAACTTTATACTATAAAGGCCCTTGTGAGCCCTAGGATGACTTGTGGGTAAAATGTGCTGGTATTTACTCTTGTACATGTGGATATATTTTGTAGTTATAAAAAGTCACATGGATTATTAATAATATATCAGTCCATACTTCCCCTTTCCACCTACTAAAACAAAATACTGCAAAAAAAACTTGTTTTACACCACTCCTAATTGATTTTATGCAAAAATATTGATATATATAAACATAAACTCATCTATCATTTTCCTATATCCTATAACCAGATATGGTCATGCTCACTATTTTGCATCATTTACACCGGGGCTGGAGCATGTTACAGCACTTGCTGTATACGCACACAGACAGGAATTTGGATCCACACAAACACCCAGGTGGGCATGGTGGTCCACCTGAACATCCAGCCGTAAAAGGCAGCCACGGGAGATCCCAGAAGCTAGCTAGCTATCTAGACCAGTGGGAGAACCCGCTGAAATGAATAAGGTGGAGAGAGATCAAAGAAGATTCCTAAAATCAACCGTGAGCATCTAGACACACACACACACACACACACACACACACACACACACACACACACGTTTGCAGACACACATGCACTTACGCATACACAGACATGCACACACACCACACACACACACACGTACACATGAGGGAAAAATACGACAAAGACTTAAGGCAGAAAGGAATCTGAAATGGAGAACTGTGAAAAGAACTTGGCATTGGCTAGTAAGAAGCCTGGGCTCAGGCAAGGAAAGGAGGCAAAGGGAGAAAAAAGAGCTGTGGGATATGAGCAACTAACCCTGATGTGAAGGGTAAAGACGTCAGCCACAATTACAGCAATTCAGCTACAGGGCAAACTGGGTTTTATTTGTGACTCAAGAATCTAGGCAGAATCTGTTCTACAAAATGGAATGAGATTTCTCCTGAGCAAAGACAGACTAATAGGCTTTGCAAGGGAAGAACACGGAAGCAGAAGAGAAAGCAGGAGAAACAAGAAGGGGTACATGGGAGGGCTTGAAGGGAGGAAAGAGGGAGATGATGTTATTGTAATCCAAAACAGAAAAGAAATAATTTTTTAAAGCTGACTGGATAACATTAAGGTTTGGAGGAAATTTTGGGGGTGTTTGTTATTTGTTTGGGAAGGTTCACAGAAGTTAAATGGGTTTACTTCATTATCCACTCTGAAGTAAAATAAAAGCAGGGCATTGGTGGCGCAGGCCTTTAATCCCAGCACTCAGGAGGCAGAGGCAGGTGGATCTCTGTGAGTTCAAGGCCGGCCTGGTCTACCCAGTGAGTTCCAGGACAGCCTCCAAAACAATACAGAGAAACCCTGTCTCGAAAAACCAAGAAAAAAATTTCTTCCAGGGGGTAATTTATTGGCTTCCTTGAAGTTTCAGTTATATTATGAAATTCTGCATGAGCGCCTCAGTTTCAGTCTTATTAAGTAGGGCCTAGCATAGGAGCCAACTCCAGTAACACTTTTTCCTCCTCCCATAGGACTGAGAATTACTATGAAGTCTAACTTACAAAGAATGTTTAATACTAAGAACTTAGAAAAGAGATAAGCTCATACAAACTATCTCAAGATAAAACACAAAGTGTCATGGACTGGATGCTTCTTCCATAAAGATTCACATAAGAAAAAGGTGAAGAAAATGCATTTATCTGTGAACAAATAATCAAATTTGCTGATACTGTGATCTTGCACTTTCCAGGCCCCAAAGATTATGAGAAAAAAAAATTGTTGCTTAACCCCTTCATTGTGTTATAGCAATACCAACACAAAGCTATTTTGAGTCATAAAAATCATATATGAATAAAGAAAAGTACTTAATTGGGCTTACAGTTCCAGAGGATCAGAGTCCATGACGGCAGAATGAAGGCATGGCAGCAGAACAGCTGAGAGCTCACACCTCACACCTCAGACAGGAGGCAGAGAGTGCAAGGGGGGGGTGGTGGCTGGAGGCTTTTGAAACTTCAAAGCCCTCCCCATGACACAACTCCTCCAACAAGCCCACCCACTTCCAATCCTTCCCAAATAGTTTTACCAACTGGGGACCATGATTCAAACATGAGAGCCTATGGGGGTCACTCTCCTTCAAACCACCACAGACCAGAAGCACACATTTAAAAATATATACCAACGCCTCAGTGGGCTCCTCTTTCTCCAACCTCCATTACTGGTACAATCTGAACCTGAACAGTCTTATAACTAAGCACACTAGGATTGCAAACATGGATTCTTTCAGGATAAAAGACAATGGTTGATGCAAAAATAAAAAATGGGCTTTTTTTCCTTGGTTTTGCAAGGTTCATTCCTGGTCAGTCTGCACTTCATAAGTCACGCATGCCATAGAAAACCCAATGGTGAAAGAATCGGTTCCTTGAAGATATGCTACTACCCCTGCGTCTGCTCTGGGTGATAACTTCCTTCCACCAAACACTATGATAAAATACTGACCAAAAGCAACTTGGGGGAGGAAGGGCTTTACTTCCACTTCCACTTCCGGATCATAGTCTATCATTAACGGAAGCTAAGGCAGAAACTGAAGCAAAGGCCATAGAAGAACACAGCTTGCTAGTTTACTCGGCTACCCTTCATACACAGCCTGGGCCTATTGCCCAGGAATGGCACCAGCCACATCCATCAGTGTGTTGGCTAACTTATGTCCACTTGACACAAATAGAATCTTTAGAGAGGAGGGAACCTCAACGAAGAAAATGCCTCCACAAGCTCACGCTGTAGACAAGCCTGTAGGACATTTTCTTAGTGATTTTTGGGGAGGGCCCCCAATCCACTGTGGATGGGGCCATGCCTGGATTCTAAAGAAAGCAGGCTGAGCAAGCCATGCAGAGCAAGTCAGTAAGCAGCTCCCGCCCCCAGGCTCCTGTCCTGTTTGAGTTCCTATCCTGACTTCCTACAGCGATGGACCGCAATGTGGAAGTGTAAGCCAAATAAACCTTTCCCTCCCCTGCTTGCTTTTGGTCTTGGTGTCACAGAAACAGAAACCCTAAGGCAGACCCCACGGCATTATAATTTCTTTCTCCAAATAGTAAACCTTCCGAAAACAAAACTGAAAGGCGCTCAGCATTCATTTACTAGTGACGGGAAACCCTGGAGTTAGACCAGCAGCAGCAGCATCTCCTCCACTGGTCTGCTCCAAAGCACCGCGTCCCTTCGATTAACCCACACAAAGCAGATGGAGAGCACAGCAGTCTCCTTAGTAAGTTTCACCGTAAACGAAAGCCGGTCTTCAGCTGCTTCAGCCGCTGGCTAGCATTCTGCCGGAGACACCCAGCGTCTCCCAACCTCCCTAGAGAAGCAAGAGTTCGGCATCATAACTCCTACCAAGATGCTTTGAAGCAAACCGGTTCCCAAAGAGAGAACGAGGTGTCCAAAGGTGTCAAAAGTTTGCGGAAGGAGGAGAAAAGCGAGACCCCCTTGCACGACAAGCTCCCACAAGGAAGGAGCTCACTCCACGGACAGACAGATCTTCCCGACTCTGGAAAAGTCGCGCTGGCTCGAAGCGCAGGGCCCCGACGCCAGCAAGGAACCGGGAGGGAGGTCGCCCACACCGGCCCGCTGGGTCGGACGCAGGCAGCATGCGGAAGCGCCGCACCCCGGGGCCGAGCTCACCTGCCTCGGGCGTGGGGACGCAGCTCCGCCGGGTCTCGGTCCCGGGAGAGCCCCGGTGCGCTCGCCTTGCTGGTCGCCTAGCAACGGCGAAGCGGCGAGTTCTTCCGCACGCGTCGATTCCTCCCACCCCTGAGAGAGGAGGGGAGGTGGGGTTTTAAAGGTTTGTTTCCGGGTCGAACGGGCTTTACGCAGCGTAAGGTCCCAGTCTCCCTGGTCTCGCCTTGTGGGAGATTGCAGTCTGGGGGAGGGAAGCGTGGGAGCGGCGGGAGCTGTCGCTCAGCGGTCCTTTCTCCTCCCCGAGGCAACGCCTCCCCTCCCGCCAATGGCCGAGCGCCGTCAGTCAGTCAGGCGTTCCGACCTCAGCACAAACCCCTCCGCTCCCCGGCATCCTCCAATCCCGGAGTCTCGCGCGCAGGGACTACTTTGCAGTCCGCGAAACGTACGAAAAGAAGGGGCTTTCGGGAACTGTAGTTTCTCCCGGTCAGGAATTGCACGGAGGTGGGCGCCAGAGCCCCGCCGGAGAAACTACACTTCCCAGAAAGCGCGGGGCATTGCCGCCCACCTCCCCCTCCGCCTTCCCCGGCGAGCACAGCGCTCGCCGCAGAGTGGGTGCCGCGGTAGAGGTGACCTGACTCCCGCAGACAGGCTTTGCAGGGTCAGCGCCGTCCTCGCAGGTGTCCACGATGGTGAGTGTGCGGGCCCCGGGGTCCTGCGCGCGGCGGCTCGCCCAGCCCGGCTTGTCCCCGCGGGCTGTCGCAGCGACCCGGCCATCGCAAAAGAGTTCGCTTCCATCCGGGGGCTGCTGAGAGGACTCGGGAGACGTCGTCGCCCCGGGAGAGGCCGAGGGGCATTAAAGGGCTTGACGGGGGTGAGATTGGACGGGAGGGAGCGAGTTGGGTCCTGACCTCTGCGCTGCCCCTTGAGCTCTTGGAAGAGGAGTCAGGTGGCGCTCCGGGTTTGTGACCCCGGTTTGCAGGAGACGTGTTTCCGCCATACCTAATTTCAGAGAGAGGGTAAAAAACGTTACCGAAAGCCTATTCTTGACCTGCGTTTGTAAGGCCAGGACTCGTCAGCGTCGCAGCGGGTCTCCGCTGCTCTGCCTTGGGTTGCAGAACGCCTCCCGGGAGATGCCAGGCAACCATCGCTGGATCTCCCAGCTGAAGGGGGGTGAGGGGACTCTGACGTAGGAGTAACCTGCGTGCTGTGTGAAGGTGACATTTACCACCCGACTAGAAATTGCTGCCGTGCTCTAGAATTTTCAAAAAATACAGTTTTTCTCCTTTAATCTCGAGATCGGGGGCGGGGGGGGGAGGCGGGCGGTGGAAGAAAATAATTTGGATGAATTGGAAATTTCGCAGAGCCTGAAAAGACGTGTTTCAAAGCAAGGACAAAAACTCCCTCTACCTCTATAAGAGACCCCAAGGGGACAAATACTCATTCTCGGTCATTGTTGTCTAGGTATATTGGCACATGAGCAGTTATTTAAATTACGGCTTCAGCGGTTTCTGCTCTAATGATTTTAGTTATAAAACGGGGGTAGTTGTCAAAGAACGTTAGACTTTAAAATTTTAGATCTAAGTGGAAAAACCTTTTTAAAAAATCATCTCAGCCAGAATGTGAGTCTCTCAAGGTCACAGAATTTGCACCTGGGGCTCTTACTCTTCCCATTTTTACCTTGACAGCATTGTGCATTTAGCAAGTCACCCTGTAAGGTCAGTAGCTGAAGTTACCGGTGAAGACACAAACCCATAATTGTAATATCAGGGAGCTTTATTCCTTATGGTTCAGAATATTGGAATTCTGAAGTTTAAAGGGAATTTGGGGATCATTTCATCTAATCTTACAACAGCCTAGCAAGGTCATTGATTTCCCAAGGTCATGTTGATCCAGGGCCCCTAATTATAGTGTTGCGTTCCCTTATACAGTAGGTGGAGGTCACCAATGATGACATGTGATAGTCCAGGTAGAAGAGTTCTTTCATGTCGCAGGGTCACAAGGTTCAGATCTTCTTCTGTAATGCCAGGACTCCTTAGCATTGCAGAATTTCTTGGGAAGACTATGTGAACAAATTACTGATTTAGAAAAAAGCTGTTGTTCCACTCAGGCTGGTGGCGCATTCCTTAGCTTGGAAGGCAGAAACACAGGGAGCTCTATGGTTTCAAAACCAACCTACCTTACATATACCAAGTTCTAGCCAGTCAAGGCTGCATAGAGAGACCCATCCTGTCTCACAAAGAAAAGAGCTGTCTTTTTTGTAAGTCAATCAGAAGCATTTTTTAAAGGAACTCTTTGACCTAAGAATACTTGGAGGACTCTCAATGACATGACTTCTCTTCTGTACTACAGTAATGCATGTAAACTATAAAGTAAAAAGAGGAGTGCAATTCTGTGGAATAACAGGGAAAACGAAAATTCAAGCTTTTCAACTATATAGTACATTTTTAAGACAGCCTGTATCCTCAAGAAGGTCGATAATGCCCTGCCAAAAGAGAAGTCGTTCCTTTTTGGATTTTGGCAGAATGCCCAGATATCTGAGCAGAGAATAGTAACCTGCATTGGCACTGTTGCATTGTGGGAAGTCAGTGGGGACTCTCCTACCCTCCTGCTTTCCAACAATGTCTCGGGAGAGCAATAGGAGTCAAACTGGCGTTTCCTTTGCCTGTTTGATCATCAGATACTAAGGTGGTGTGGAATGCCCAGACGCAGTGGAACCGCTGCAGTAGAGTCAGCTGTTGATTAGTTGGCCACCTCCTCTTCACTACAGACTGTGATTACTGGGAACACTGTTTTGATAAATGACTGCATTACTCTGTTCTAACCATCAGCTAGACTTTCTGGAAGTTTAAACTTTATAGATGTGATTGGCACTTTCTCCCTCATTTCTTTTTCTTTCTTTTCTCCCCAAGACAGGGTTTCTCTGTGTAGCCTTGGCTACTCTAGAACTCTCGGTAGAGTAGGCTGGCCTCCTCCCTGGTGCGCGCCACCAGCTCCCCTCATTTCTTATCCCTGCTTGATTTACACTGTTAAAGCCAAATGGGGGAGGGGGCAGGAAATGATCTTTTATGGTTTGGTTCTGAGGCCCATGCTGCCTCACTTTAGAACTCCTGACCTTCATGCTCACCTCCCAGCCCTAGGATTGCAGGCATGTGCCACCATGCCTAGATACCAGTGTGGTTTTGTTTCTGATTTGTCTCTTCCATTTAGCTTTACCCTTACATTATTCATTCAGTAAATATATGTTAAAACCTGTAAGAAGAGTGCAGATTTTAATCAAAGGCAAACTGCTCTCAGGAGAACATCACAGTCTAGCTAAGTGACAGACATGTAAATACGTAACTGCAAACTGTAGGACTCTCAGAAGAAATGTCCATGGTGTTCCCATACCCACACCCTCAAGTAAATATAACAACAGATTTAAAAATTGTGACATAGTTTTGCTTATCACAGCTGACATAAGTCCCCTCAGTTTCCAGCCTTCTCAATACATGTATACATGAATAAAATATCTTCACTCTTTTTGTTTTGTTTTTCAAGACAGGGTTTCTCTGTGGCTTTGGAGCCTGTCCTGGAACTCACTCTTGTAGACCAGGCTAGTCTCAAACTCACAGAAATCCGCCTGACTCTGCCTCCCAAGTGCTGGGATTAAAGGCATGCGCCACCAATGCCCAGCATATATCTCCACTTTTTTTAAAAAGATTTATTATATATATAATGTTCTGTCTGCATGTATCCCTGCAGGCCAGAGGAAAGCACCAGATCTCATTACAGATGGTTGTGAGCCACCATGTGGTTGCTGGGAATTGAACTCAGGACCTCTGGAAGATCAGTCAGTGCTCTTAGCCACTGAGCCATCTCTCCAGCCCCTATCTTCACTTTTTCAAAGTATATTCAATTTGCTTCCAATTGTGTACATGTCAGTCTTTATGGTAGCAATATTTACATGACCCAACTATTTCTTAAGCAAGTACCGGGGTTGTAGCTGTGCACCTGTTTTTATCTGATCTCTTGAGGTGTAACAGTGAATCGAATTCAGATTGTAAAGCCCCCAAAAGAGGGAAACAGCTTCTCCCTTCTCATTTCTCAACTTCAAAAGGAAAAATGACAAGGTGAAATATATATACAGGTCTGTTACAGTAATGGTACCCAGTAATGGCAATTGAGAATGCAAGTATGGTAGAGATGTGTATAGCAGAAAGTAACCATATAGAATAATGTATACTATTATTTTGAACATAAATACATGTTTTATTAAGTACATATTAATATAGATACATGTTTTCATTAAAATTAGCTTATGTAGATATTAGATTTACTTCGTCTAGAGATGTGAAAAAATAGGGGACAGACCCAGGGATCAAGGAGAATTTTTCTCCATAGCTTTCTGAGGTTTTATCTTTGATTATATTTTTCTACTCCTATCCTATCCTGAGCATGTTTTTGAGGAAGAAATACAAGTAAAATCTACTATGATCAAATTTATTTCTTGTAACAATTAATACTTATTTCCTGAATTTTCTTTTTGGACATCGGTGGGGACCAAGTCCCTGAGTGCTGTTGGTTGCAGGCCATCCATCTTTCCCCCTCAGACAGATGACTCGCCTAGAAGATGCTGTTCTAAAAAAAAGACCAAACCTAATGTTTCTATGCCCAGTCACTTTGTTGGGTCATTTCTTCATGCAAGGAGAGACCAGGGTGACACGGAGTACAAATTCAGTTCTCAGCACTGTCAGGGAAGGGATCATTGTATCTTAATTCTATTCTATAAATTCACTGAGCTTAATTTAAACTTTTTCCATTACTCAGCCCTCATTTTGAATACAGTTGTTATTTTAGTCTATGTGTCTTATTTTATTCAAAGTCTTAGCCTGTGGAGCTGCTTTTTTTTTCTATTATGTAACTATTGCACTTTTTCTATGGTTTCTCTTCCTTCTCTTAAAGCGTAATTTTCCCTTGGAATCAGATTGTCAGCTATCACTGTTGTGATTTCAGTGCAATATTTAATGCTAAAATTTATTATATTCCATATAATAATTATTTCCTTTAAAAAAAATTTAAAGGCTTGGACCAGCAAGATGGCTTGGTGGGTAAAGAGCGCTTGTTGTGACAACCTGAGTTCAATCCCCAGGACCCACATAATGGAAGGAAAAAAATCCAGCCCCCACAAGTTGTAGCATGCTGTGTCACATATACACCACCCAATATACTTTAAATATATGTAATTGTTAAAATAAAGGCTTAACGTTGGGCATAGTAGTGTACACCTTTAAT